AGACAACAAGCAGAGCTGATGGTCAGCCAACTGCTAAGATCAGATCTGGTGTACATTTTGTTATGGCACCCCATGATTTGTTGGCACCCCAGCTCATGGGAGAGCTGTGGCTCTGAGAGCCTGCGCCAGGGCAGGCAGGGCCAAGTGGAAGACAAGTGATGTAACGCTTCTCAGCACCCTCTTCTCTGCCTCATTTCCCCCTATTTGGGGTTCCAGGTAAGGGATAGAAGATTTAGTGCAGTGCAGATATGCTCTGTTCCTGGACCTAATTCCTGCTTGCAAGGGCTAGCTCTAACCAGTCTCTGAATAACCAGGGCTGGTACTGAACGCTGTACAGATATTTTCATACAGCTTCAGGATCTTCCCAAGGATGCTTATATTTCTTGTAGCAAAGAGCATCTAACCAACCAGCCGTTAACTGTTCCCCAAGACTATGGTTTTGAATCTGTATCTTTTCTCCATAGAGCACTCACTTAAAAAGCAGGCCCTAACTGTAACACTGAAACAGTCTCCTGAATCAGCATGCCAAGTTTACAGGAAATGCTAGAAAGTTATACCAAGAAATTCAAGACCAACACCAATATTTTCAAACTCAGCAGTGACTTTCTTATTCCCGTGGGTACTTAGCAGGGTGCTGCTGGCCAGCTCCATGACATTTATCTTTCCTATGTGAGGTGCATGTGAAAAGCCTCGGTTTAGAAAAATTGCTAGATAAAAGGAAAGTCAAATGGAACTGGCCACAGAGGATTGTATATAATTCCTGATAAAGACAGTATTACTCAGTTTGCTTTAGATTTCAAACATCCACAGTAACATACTTTTCCAGGCAAGCACTTTTTTTTTTAATGTTGCCATTCAGCAGGGCCTTTTGAAAAATTGTGTTGCACAAACATATTTTTGAAAATAATTGCTGTAAATAAGCCATTTGAAATCCAAGTTCTATTGGAAGTCAGTCAGCAAGATGCTTTGAAAACACAGCCTCCTAACCCACAGCTCATTTTCCTTCAGAAATAAGTGTTTGGAGCCACTGTGGATTAACGTAGTCAGTCGCTCTAATTAAAACACCCCTGAGACAAAAGTCTTCAAACACCATGGAGAGATATGCTAATTAAGGCCACATGGCACTGTGGCCATTTTGAACACTTCATCCCTTCCTATATACGTACATTCAATCCAGCTGGGGAAATGGAGTCAAATTTAAAGGACAAACATGCCAGTAACTTGAAATCTAATTGAGCTACTACTAGAAAGCACATTATTCTAAAACTGCGCTGTTGCCTTAAGTTTGTCTCTGTTGAATTCAGCTTAGGTACAAACGCAAGCTCACTTTTCACAGGGGCATATAAACAAAAACAGGAAATAATTGCTAGTCATTTACTAAATTAAGTACGGTAGGTTGGAAATGTGATATTCAGTGGTGACATGCAACAAATTCTTGCTAAGAATTAGTGTCTTGGTTTATTTAATATTTACAAATTGTGTCTTTCATAACACACATTCTGTGAAGCTATTTTGTAAGCTTTTCTTATCTCTTAAAGCACAATAAATAATTATTCACTCAGTTTAAAGAAGGCATCCAGAAGTTACAAGTGTGCTGCTGGAAGACTCAAGAGCAGCAGTATTTATGCTCATGAACAACCTAAAAAAGGGTGAAACTGTTGGATTAAACACAGAAGCATGTGCCTTCAGCAAATGCATTTTTTAGCCTTTCCTGAACAAGTTTGTTCTGCAGCTATTGACCTCAAAAGCCATTAATCAGATTCTAATATGTGGCTAGTGAGTGTGGCAGATACACCAGGACATTCAGCAAGCTGCTTTTAGCAAATCCAGAAATCCACAAATTGAAATGTTACTATCACATGTGGGCTATTTCAGACAAAAGTACAGACCACAAACACCAGTCTTAATAAGCAGAGCTAGAATTTCCAAAAATAAGCAAATGTGGCTTCTATTCAGAGTCACAGGAGGAAAAAAATAATCACTTCCAAAATTCTGTCAAATTCTGTCCTTTACTCTCGAAACAACACTTTGCTTTGGTTTTACCTTGAAGTGTGCTTGTTGCAGCAAGCACTGTGACTATAATCCAGCCTAGTGGCTACACAGCTGCCTCTGAAGGTATTAATCCTTTTGTCTCACCCATTGTGCCTTTTGCCAAGCTCATAGGGCAGAGGATAACGGGGTGCCTCTGGCATGCATTGCATTTTTCTTGTAAGGCAGTTGTCTTAGCATAGGTTAGGAAGAGACTGAGGTGCCTGCAGCTGGGAGAGCTGATTCTTCTTTATGCTCCATCCTTCTATGTTCAGAGTCATTTTTTCTAAATTTTCTTCCCTCTTCAGGTCAGTTACCCACAAATAAGTTTTCTTTTTTCTCCTTCCCCCAGATCAATTCTCATCTACAATCCAGCCCCCCCCCCCCCCCAGATTACATAGCCCATAGCCTGTGCACCAGAGTTACAGCCCCCTTGTGGCAGCATTTCCTGCCAGACCTGCAGAAGTGCAATCTTGAGGATGCGAAGCACAACCCTGGAGTTTTAGTTTCTTTATCTTTCCTCTAGATTTCAGGATTTGAGCTGATTTTAAATTGCCAGCATCCCATTGGCTTTTAGTGAGACACAGACACAGTCTGTTCAGGGAATTTAAGCATGTTGTAAAGGAGGAAGTGGATCTATAACATATAACTTCTCCATCTACTTGCCTGTCTGTAGCTTACAGTGGAAAAAAAAAACAAAGTGCAGCACTATGTCTTGTAGGTGCTTAGTTCAGATTCTTTAAAAGTTACTTATCTAAGATATTCAGAGTAATAAATCCTAAGAGTAAGTCAATACCTGAATACTTGCCCTGCATTTTAGAAGCAGTAATTCCACCAGTGCTTCGCTCTCATCTTTTCCTTTTTCCAGGACTTCAACAATTGCTGAGTGCAGCTGTTTAATTACATGGAATCCAAACAAACTACCACAATGCTTAATATTATTACGGGCATTTTAGTTACAAAGTTAATTTACATAAATATTGTCTGTGAATCAGACTGTATTCTACCCTTCAGACTTAGCTAAGCAACTACAATGAAATGTAAAACTACATCCATGCATTTGCCCAGTTTAGAAACACAGAAGAAAGGAAGACAGTGAGCAAATGTATTACATGGCTAAATCACCAAGTCTGTTTGATTTTAAGTTGGAAAAAAATGGCACACTAACAAGCTAAAAGTGACTGAAAATATAGTTTATTTGCAAATATGTCAAAGCTCATAATGATTCAGGAACCGTACAGGCAAATCAAAAGTGAGAGATTTTAAAGATAATAAAATCTTCCCCTTTTTTTGTTATTACTGAAGAATGTTTTTATTTATTTCTAAAACAGTTATTGCAATAAGTTTTCCTAGTTTTATACATTCCCTCATCTTCTTTGTAACTTGTGAACTTTGGGTTGTACATGTGTTTACTGACTTATGTTGATGATAGAAATACCTGGGAGGCTACTTGTTTTACTGAAAAACTTATCCAAAAGCAAAAATTACTCCTTTTCTGGAGTTACTCCTCAACAAGTTTTCCTTACCAGCTGGATTGCCTGAATAAAACAGAGGGAAATCATCTTTGTGCAGAGGATCTTCAATTCAAAGGAACTTATGAATTCATTAGCAGGATTCAGTAGAAGCTCTACATCACATTTTTCTTGTGGGAAAAGAAAAAGCATTTAACAATAGAAAAGGGCTCAACCACCGTTAGTAGGGTTGCACATCACTGACAAAAATAAAGCAAAATAAGTTTATCTAAAAACAGACCCAGACAAACTGTACCCAGAATGACACACAACATGCTCAGAACAGTAACAGCTACTACAGTTGGCTTAGTATTGTCAGAGAGCTCTCAAACAAACGCAGTGTGGGCCCAAAACACAGATGTAAAGTACTTTAGGACCGCCAGTTCTATCACTAGCCTTGAGAGAAAATAACTGTTAGCTCATTACCTCTTACAGTCATTTAATACCTCTGGAAAACAAAAATCAACATATACACATAGGACAGAAAACATCAATGAATCTTAAGATGTTACTCCTGTGCTATAGCATCTGCTAAGAAATTGTTCACATTGAGAAAAATATGCAGTCACGTTCATTTTAAAGGCTGGTCTATATTGTGACACAGCCTTTACATGCTAATGGCCATTAGCTGCAGCCAAACCACCAAATTCTAGTACAAGCTTATTCCTAGACTGTGATTTCCACAGTTTAAGTTCTGCTCTCTTATTATATACATCCAGAGCAAGTGACTGCAAATCTGCAAAAAGAATTTGATCCAACAGTTTTCTGATCTGAAGAGCAGCTGCCCTAGACAGTTGAAACTTCTCCACTTGAACATGGAGCTCTGCCTAGGGGTGGATGAAGAGCAAGCTGAGAGCCTATGGGTAAGGATTAAAGGGCAGGCTAACATGGGTGACGACGTTGTGGGGGTTTACTACAGGCCACCTGATCAGGAAGAGGAAGTCAATGAAGCCTTCTACAGACAGCTGGAAGCAGCCTCACAATCACAGGCCCTGGTTCTCCTGGGGGACTTCAGCCACCCTGACATCTGCTGGGAGGAGAGCACAGCTAGGCACAAACAGTCAAGGAGGTTCCTGCAGAGCGCTGCGGATAACTTCTTGACGCAGGTGGTGGAGACACCAACGAGGAGAGGTGCGCTGCTAGACCCTGTACTAACAAACAGACAAGGTCTGGTTGGAGATGAGAAGGCTGGGGGCAGCCTTGGCTGCAGTGACCATGAGATGGTGGAGTTCAGGATCCTGCGAGGAGGAAGCAGGACAATAAGTAAGATCGCAACCCTGGACATCAGGAGAGCAAACTTTGGCCTCTTCAGGGACCTCCTTGGAGGAATCTCATGGGGTAGGGCCATAGAAGGAAGGGGGGTCCAGGAGAGCTGGGTAATATTCAAGTATCACTTCCTCCAGGCTCAAGAGCAGTGCATCCCTCTGAGGAAGAAGTGCAGCAAAGTGGGCAGGAGACCTGCACGGATGAGCAAGGAACTCCTGGCCAAACTCCAGCAGAAGAAGGAAGTGTACAGAATGTGGAAAAGGGCACAGGCCACTCGGGAGGAATAGAGGGACGTTGTCAGAGCGTGCAGGGATGCGACGAGGAAGGCTAAGGCCCATTTGGAATTCAATCTGGCAAGGGATGTCAAGGACAACAAGAAGGGCTTCTTCAAACACATCACTAGCAAAAGGAAGACTAGGGAAAATG